CTTCTAAACACTAAGACTCTCTCCTCCTCCCATCCCATCAATCATCACCAGATCTTCAATAAAGGTAAGTGTCATGTAATTGTGCATACCTTTTTCAGTTTGTGTGTATTAAAATTAATATTTCATGTGGTAAAAATGTTTTTTTTTTTCATACTTTGGGGTGTCTTGCACGGATTGATTTGATTTCCATTATTTCTTATGGGGAAAATTCATTCGCATAACGATAATTTTGCATAACAATGAGCTCTCTTGAACGGATTAATATCGTTATGCGGGGGTCCACTGTATTTCTTATGGGGAAAATTAATTCGACTTTCGATAGCTCTCAGGAACGGATTAGTATCAAATGTCGAGGGTCCACTGTACAATATTTTATGATGTTTTCATGTGTTTTATGATTGTTCATGGTTCAATAGGTTAAGGAAGCAGTATTGTTTGGCTAAATAAATGCTATTATATTTCCCTACAATATATTTGTGCACCAAACATTTGAGATTTTTCAACATTCACGAGGTTCTGGATCCCCTAACCCTCGCGAATGTGGAGGGAAACCTGAAAGTATTTTCTTTTTGGGGATTTTCTTTCTTTTTGGTCGTCCTGCCTCAGTGGGAGACGGCCGATTTGTTGGGAAAAAAAAACAACTGGTAAATGTAATTGTTAAGAACATAAGAAAAAAGGAGCACTGCATCAGGCCTACTGGCCCATGCAAGGTAGGTCCAAGTTGCCTCCTGGCTTAAACCAGTGACCCACCTAGTCAGGTCAGGTCACATCCACTTAAGGACACTTAGAGAAGGAGCACACCATCAGACCTATCAGCACAAACTAGTCAGGTCCAACTCACACCCACCCACACCCAGTCATGTATTTATCCAACCTATTTTTAAAACTACACGTCTTAGCTTCTGTGACGGTACTCGGGAGTTTGTTCTACTGATCCACAACTCTATTACCAAACCAAGGCTTTCCTGTATCCTTCCTGAATCTGAATTTTTCCAACTTAAAACCATTGCTGTAAGTCCTGTCTTGGCTAGATATTTTTAGCATGCTATTTACATTACCTTTACTTATTCCTGTTTTCCATTTATACACTTCAATCATACCCCCTGTAATTCTACGCCTTTCTAAAGAGTGCAGGTTCAGGGCCCTCAGTCTGTCCTCATAGGGAAGATTTCTGATACATAGGATCAACTTTGTCATTCTCCTTTGTACTTTTTCCAGTGCATTCATATCCATTCTGTAATATGGTGACCAGAACTGTGCAGCATAATCTAAATGAGGCCTAACCAAAGATATACAGTGGACCCTTGAATTTTGTCCCCCTTGGATATCATGAATTTTGGAAATCAGCTACTTTTTTCTTCATAATATTGGCTTGATTTTCGTGATTTAGTTTAGAAGTCCGCAGTCATACAAAACGTGTCTGAGCGGCCTCCCAGCCACAGCGGGCACACAAACACCATTCAGTGTCAGTCTGGTATTGTATCTCGGCGAGTGACAATCACCTCACGCGCTCATTGATACATTTCTTAATATATTTCATTTGTTTTAGTGCTTGCAACCGCTAAATAAGCCACCATGGGCCCAAAGAAAGCTCCTAGTGCCAGCCCTTTGGTAAAAAAAGTGAGAAACATAACTGAAGTAAAGAAAGAGACCATAGAAAAATATGAAAGTGGAGTGCGTTTGGCGGAGCTCTCCAGGATGTACAGGAAGGCCCATTCAACCATCTCTTCCATCGTGGCGAAGAAAAAGGAAATCAAGGAAGCAGGTGTTGCAAAAGGGATGAATATGCTAACATAAAGAGGTCGCAAATAATCGAAGATGTTGAGTTGTTGTTGCTGGTGTGGATCAAACAAAAAGAGTTAGCAACTACCTTGCAAAAACGCAAGGCAGTTGCATGAAGATCTCGTAAAGAAAAGGTCTGGAACGAGTGCTGATGTTGGTGAATTGAAGGCCAGCAAAAGCTGGTTCAAAAATTATAAGAAGTGAAGTGGCATACACAATGTTGTAAGGCATGGTGAGGCTGCCAGTTCAGACAAACATGCTGCTGAAAAATTCATAATGAATTCAAGGACTATGTAGAGGCTGAAGGATTCATCCCCCAGGAAGTGAAGCAGCCTCTTTTGGAAGAAAATGCCAAGGAGGACCTACATCACGCAGAAGGAAAAAGCACTGCCAGGACACAAGCCAATGAAAGACAGGCTAACTCTCATGTTGTGTGGTAATGCTAGTGGTGATTTCAAAGCGAAGCCTTTACTGGTGTATCACTCTGAAAATCCCAGAGTGTTCAAGAAAAACAGTGTCGCAAAGGCTAATTTGTGTGTGATGTGGAAGGCTAACAATAAGGCATGGGTCATGAGAGACATTTTCCTTGATTGGTTCAATGAAGTGTTTGGCCCCAGTGTAAAGAAATACCTCCTGGAATATAAATTGAAACTCAAGTGCATCCTTGTAATGGACAATGCTCCTGCTCATCCTCCAGACTTGGAAGAGCAAATGGTGAAGGAGTTTAATTTCATCACAGTGAAGTTCTTGCCCCCTTAATACCACTCCTCTCCTCTAGCCCATGGACAAGCAGATCATTTCAAACTTCAAAAAAGTCTACACCAAAGCAGTGTTTCAAAGGTGCTGTAACATAACCTCGGACTCTGAATTGACCCTAAGAGAGTTCTGGAAAGATCACTTCAGAATCCTCCACTGCATGAACCTTATAGGTAAGGCTTGGCAGAGAGTGGCTTCCAGGACGATGAACTCTGCTTGGAGAAAATTGTTTCCAGAATGTGTCCTCGACAAAGATTTTGAAGAGTTTGAGGCTGATCCTGAGGACCCTGTGCCAGTTGTGGAGTCTATTGTGGCACTGGGGAAGTCATTGGGGTTGGAGGTTAGTGGCGACGATGTGGAAGAGTTGGTGGAGGACCACAATGAAGAGCTAACCACTGAAGAGCTGCTAGACCATAATCTGCAACAGCAACAGACCACAGCTCAGGAAATTGCTTCAGAGGAAGAGGAAGAGGAAGAGAGAGGGAAGAAGTTGCAATGTGGACTAGGATGGAAAAATTTGTGGAGGAACATCACCCTGACAAAGCTGTTGCAGACTGTGTATGTGACATGTTCAATGACTGTCTTGTCTCATTTTAGGCAAATTTTAAAGAAACGCCAGAAATAGACCTTTCTGGAACAATTTTTTGAGCGACAGGGCTCCAGTGACTCTCAAGCTGGTCCTAGTTGAATTAAAAAAACAAAGAAGGGAAGTAACCCCGGAAAAGGACTTGGTACCTGAAGTCTTTATGGAAGGGGATTACCCTTCCAAACAATAGTAACTCTTCCATCCTTTCCCCTCCTCCACACATCAAGAACTCTTCAATAAAGGTAAGTGTCAAGTTATTATTGTTTTATTCTTCATGTCTCATTGTTTTCTGTGTAGATAAATGTACATTTAATGTAAAAAAAATATATTTTTTAATACTTTTGGGTGTCTGGAATGGATTAATTGGATTTACATTATTTCTTATGGGAAAAATGGTTTTGAAAATCGTGAATTTTGAATTTCAGCGGACTCTCTGGAACGGATTAATCATGAAATTCAAGGGTCCACTGTATATAGTTGAAGAACAACGTGAGGACTCTTATTATTTATGCTCCTTGATATGAAGCCAAGGATTCTGTTTGCTTTATTGTGAATATATATGCACTGTTGTCTTGGTTTTAGATTACTCTTAACCTGAACTCCCAAATCCTTTTCGCAATCAGTAATATTAAGATCTACATTATTTAGTTTATATGTGGCATGGTTATTTTCTTGTCCAATGTTTAGAACTTTGCATTTGTCTATATTAAACTGCATCTGCCACTTTTCCGACCACTGCATCATTCTCTTCAAATCTTCCTGGAGTGCTCTAATGTCCTCATTAGAGCGAATTACGCAACCTATTTTGGTGTCATCAGCAAACTTGCTTATGTCGCTGTTGATTCCCTCATCAACGTTGTTTATATAAATTGTGAACAACAAAGGGCCCAACACTGACCCCTGTGGAACACCACTCGTGATACACCCCCATTCTGACTTCTCCCCATTGATGCAAACTTTCTGCTGTCTATCTGTCAACTATGCCTCTACCCAGGAAAAAAATATTTCTCCTGTTCTGTGTACCTTAATTTTCCTCTGCTCAGTAGCCTCTGATGTGGAACTTTATCAAAAGCCTTACTGAAGTCCATATGCACAATATCATATTCATTACCATGATCTACCTCCTTGAATACCTTTGTGAAAAAAGTTAGTAAATTAGTAAGGCAGGAATGCCCCTTTGTAAAACCGTGTTGAGATTCATTAATCAATTAATGAGTTTCAAGATGGCTACAAATTGCCTCGGCAAGTATTGATTCCATAAATTTTCCCACTGTGGAGGTGAGGGTTTTTGGTCTATAGTTCAGAGTTAAGGACCTGTCTCCTGCTTTGTAAATAGGTATTGCATTTGCCATTTTCCACTTATCTGGTACCATGCCAGTTTGTAGTAGCATGTTGAAAAGACTAGCCAAAGGTTTGCTGAGTTCCTCTTTACATTCCTTTAAAACCCTTGCAAACAGTTCATCAAGGCCTGGGAATTTGTTTGGTTTTAATTTCCTTATTTGTCTGAAGACTGTGTCACTAATTACCATAATTGTGCATAGTTTATTATCATCCTGTTCTACATAATTTATTATTTCTGGATTTTCGTTAGTATCTTCATGTGTAAAAACGGAGAGGAAATAAGAGTTAAAAATTTCACACATTTCTTCAGTACTGTCAGTAATCTGACCTGAGTTACTTTTGAGTGGGTCAGTCTTGTCCCTAATCTTACTTCTATATACTTGAAAGAAACATTTTGGGTTAGTCTTTGAATCCCTTGCCACTTTAGCCTCATAATCTCTTTGGATTACCTGTTCCTGGTGAAAGATGCTAAGGGGGTGATATAATAAAAATACACCAAGCAGTTTTGGTGTTTAGTAAAGCGACTTGTTTTCAGCCCAAGGAAACTGTTGTAACACGCTGGCGAGCTGATCCCTGGTCAAGGGGATCCTACTCTTTTGTTTCTACTGGAGCTTCTGGAAATGACTATGACATCCTAGCTACACCTATTTCACTTCCTCCTTCCAACCAGAGTTCACAGAACTTGCAGAACTCAGCAGATACTTCCACCCCACCTCCCAGGTATGTTTTTAGTCTGATCTTTTTTTAGAAAAAAAATATTGTTGAATAAGTACCACTCGTGGAGGTACTACCACCCTGTCTTATAACTGTAAAGAATTCTATGGTAGGAAGTTGGTAAACCAACTAGTTGCCCAGGAAGGTACAGTAATTCTGTTCTCTCATATGGGTGTGCAATAGATATTTGTTGATTTAGCACTATATTAGGAGTGCTGTTTTTTTCTATTATAAACATGTAGGACCAGGCATACCTTAAAAACATCAATTTTCCTACATTATACACTTAGCTTTACTTTCCTGTGTTTCTTAATCCAGTAGTTCTTATTCCTGTAATATTCCCTTTACTTAAGAAAGTGTCTGATTTTGTAAGGCTTTGTAATTTGTAAGTCCTGGATTGATAATTTTTTTCCTCTTTCTTTTTTGGGTCACACTGCCTTAGTGGGAGATGACCAGCATGTCAGAAAGAAATTATTTCTATTGTACCATCAAATAATAATTTTCCAGGTTATTCTTTGGAGGAGAACATACCATCAGGAACTACCCAGCCACTGTTCATGGGGCCTTCCTCAGTGGGTTGAGGGAAGCAGGTCGAATTGCTGATCAATTTCTGGGTTGCCCCTACGCAGCTCCTCCTCCGCCTCCTACAAATGGAACGGCCAATATTGAAACATTAATTACCAAGTGAATTTGCTTTATATGTTGTGGAAACCTGCTTGTGGGAATTAATATTTTTGTTTACTAATATTTTTTTGTGCTCTTTATAATATTAATGTTATAACCGAGTAATTTATTTTGTGCTTATGTAGAACATTGTACTCTAAATCAGTTAAAATTTGATTTCTCTTAATTTAGGAAAAGTCGTGCAGTGTTTTCCTAGAATATTATATAATTTTGATGTGAAAAATTTATATTTCTGTTTTGTACCTTATGTACCTTGTATTTAGAATTCAGTTGTTATATACCAAATATAGTCATGCTACACAGTTGTTAAGTTGTTACTCAACTTACGATGGGTTGACTTATGATATTTCAACTTTACAATGGTGCTTTTGCACCATCATAAAGTCGAAACTTAAGATAATTATCCATCATGAAGGTGGCAAGTTCTTAATTTGTATACATTTTTTAACCTTTCAGTGCTGGTATTTAGTTAGTTACAGTAATTATTTGCTTATTTACCTATTCATGGACAGTAGTTATTTATTTATTAAGCATATATTAATATTTGGTTAGCTGGACTTGAGTCTTGGAGGTGGGAAGTACAATGCCTGCACTTTAAAGGAGGGGTTTGCAGTATTGGCTGTTTGGAGTAACATCTTAACTGTCATGTCTGAGTGCCTCTGCAAAGACAGTGATGTGTGTGAATGATGGTGAAAGTGTTTCTTTCTTACCCTGCCTCAGTGGGAAATAGCTGATATGTTGGGAAAACGCAAATATATTCATGTTCGACATACGATATTTTCGACTTAGGATTTTTTTTTATACTAATTTTAAATATAGAAATAGAAAGTTCATATATTAGTCTGTCCCATTGGTTATCTTTATTTTGGTAGATAAATGTTTTCACTTTATCAGAAATATTGGCTATGCTTTTGAGTGACAGTGTTGGTGCTCCGCATTTAATTTGGTCAGTGATAATGACCCATTATTACTTCAGTAGTTGTTTTGTAAAGTAAAAGGACACAAGTGCAACTAATGTGACATTTTATTGTGGCAACATTTCGCTCTCCAGGAGCTTTATCAAGCCGATACAAACAATACATGGACACAGAGGGTATATATAGGCTTAGAGTGAGGTGTAATACTAGTGGTAGAAGAAGTAGTAATAGTGATATAAGTTGTAGTGGTAGTAGTAATACAATATGGTAGAACAATTAACTTGCACATGAGTAAAAGGATATAAAAGCTATTACTTGAGTAGCATAAAAATAAGTTAGACAAATATTTCTATTGGAGGTTTGATTAGAAGCAGCCTGTTTCAGTGTTCATCCTCTGTAATGTGCTTGTGTAGTATTAACAGGAGAGACTATGTGATGGCAGGGTTTACTGTTTTCAGGAGGATTCTTGCTAAGACTTCAGAGATGGTGAAGCTGCCTTTGTTTTGTTTAATTGTATTAGAAACAGCAATTAGTGCTGATTCAAGGCACTTGCGTCTGCGGATATTAGTTTCTTTGATCACTAATCAGGCATCCCTGAATTTCATGAGATGATTGGTAGAATTTCGGTGTTGTAGGCAGGCGTTGTTCAAGTTATCGTTCATCATGCATAAATGTGTTCATTGAGTGAGGTTTCGAGGTTTCTTGCTGTTTTACCTACATAAATCTTGTCACAGCCTCCACAGGGTATAGTGTTCGTGGTTCATGGTACTTGGATTTTGTCCTGGTTAGAAGCAATGGGAACTCTAGTGTTAGCTTGTGCAAGTACTTTAGAAACATTCAATGCAACCTGTCTGTTGGGAAGAATTATAACTTTGTTAGGAGTGGTGTTGGTGCGTGGAGAATTAATGATCTGAAGAGCTCTTTTCTTGCAATCTTTGATGAAAAAGGAAGGAAAATGTAAATCAGTGAATGTTTGGTGAATGTATGTACATTCCTCATCAAGAAACTCAGGACTACAAATTCGGTATGTCCTTAGGAAAAATTTGATGATGATGCTTCTTTTGGTCTTAGTATCTTGACTGGAATAGAAGTTTGTGAGATCATTTTTATTTGTAGGTTTCCGGTAAACTTGAAATCTTAGGTTGTTATCTACTTTGTGAATGAGGACGTCTAGAAAAGGTAGCTTGTCATTGGACTCTTCTTCTAGTGTAAACTGGATTGCTGGTTCAACTGCATTGAGCCTTGCCTGAAGATTCTGTACATCAGAATGTTTGGGAGTTATTATGAGGATGTCGTCCACGTAACGTAACCAAGTGACGCTTGAGAGGATGATGTTGGCGAAGTGTTCAGCCTCTAGGTGTTCCATGTATAAGTTGGCTAAGATGGCACTGATGGTGGACCCCCATTCCCATAGGTTTGTTTGTAGAGCCTGTTATTGAAAGAAAAACAGTTAAAATTAACGCAGAGTTCAATCAGGTCAACAAAATCTCCAGGAGATAAAGGAAATTACATCCAAACTGTTTAGTTTCTTATTATGGATGGAGAGGTTTCGCATGCAGGTGAGAAGGTCACCTGAATGCTTAAGATGAGAGGGGCTGATGGTCCCCAGAAGGCAAGAAAGATGTTTGGCAAGAACTCCTGGTAGTTTCTGTGATGCACTGCCTATACCTGATGTGATTGGTCTGAGAGGAATATTATGTTTATGGGTCTTGGGTAAACCATACATGTGTGCTGGTTTAGGTTTCCTGGGTATCAAGTACAGAAGTTTCTTCCCTTCACTAGTGCATTTGAGCATTTGTCTGTTTTTGTATAGAAAATCTTTGGTGAGTGTCTCCCACTGTTGAGTGCTGATGGGTTCATATGTAGACTGATCATTCAAAATGATGGACCTTTTGAATGATCAGTCTACATACGAACCCTTCAGCACATAACAGTGGGAGACAGCAAAGATTTCCTATACAGAACCAGACAATGTATGGTTTACCCAAGACCCATAAACATAATATTCCTCTCAGACCAATCACATCAGGTATAGGCAATGCATCACAGAGACTAGCAGGAGTTCTTGCCAAACATCTTTCTTGCCTTCTGGGGACCATCAGCCCCACTCATCTTAAGCATTCAGGCGACCTTCTCACCTGCATGCGAAACCTCTCCATCCGTAACAAGAAACTAAACAGTTTGGACTTAACTTCCCTCTTCACTAAATTACCTACCACACAAGCCATCGAGGTTCTATGACGTAAACTCAATCAGGACCTTAATTTTCCTCTATCTCCTGGACATTTTGTTGACCTGATTGAACTCCGCATTAATTTCAACTGTTTTTCTTTCAAGAACAAGCTCTACAAACAAACCTACAGCATGGGAATGGGGTCCCCCATCAGTGCCATCTTAGACAAGTTGTACATGGAACGCACAGAGGCTGAGCACTTCGCCAACATCATTTCCTCAAACATTTTGATGTACAGAATCTTCAGGCAAGGCTCAATGCAGTTGAACCGGCAATCCAGTTTACACTAGAAGACGAGTCCAATGACAAGCTACCTTTTCTAGACGTCCTCATTCACAAAGCAGATAACAACCTAAGATTTCAAGTTTACCGGAAACCTACAAATAAAAATGATCTCACAAACTTCTATTCCAGTCAAGATACTAAGACCAAAAGAAGCATCATCATCGAATTTTTCCTAAGGACATACCGAATTTGTAGTCCTGAGTTTCTTGATGAGGAATGTACATACCTTCACTGATTTACATTTTCCTTCCTTTTTCATCAAAGACTGCAAGAAAAGAGCTCTTCAGATCATTAATTCTCCATGCACCAACACCACTCCTAACAAAGTTATAATTCTTCCCAGCAGACAGGTTGCAATGAATGTTTCTAAAGTACTTGCACAAGCTAACACTAGAGTCCCCATTACTTCTAACCAGGACAAAATCCAAGTACCATGAACCAGTCAATGCAGGGGTTTACACTATACCCTGTGGAGGCTGCGACAGGATTTATGTAAGTGAAACAGCAAGAAACCTCGAAACCTGAGTCAATGAACACATTTGCGCATGTAGGAGCAATGACTTGAACAATGCCTCCGTACAACACCAAAATTCCACCAATCATCTCATGAAATTCAGGGATGCCTGATTAGTGATCAAAGAAACTAATATCCGCAGACGCAAGTGCCTTGAATCAGCACTAATTGCTGTTTCTAATACAATTAAACAAAACAAAGGCAGCTTCACCATCTCTGAAGTCTTAGCAAGAATCCTCCTGAAAACAGTAAACCCTGCCATCACATAGTCTCTCCTGTTATTACTACACAAGCACATTACAGAGGATGAACACTGAAACAGGCTGCCTCTAATCAAACCTCCAATAGAAATATTTGTCTAACTTATTTTTATGCTACTCAAGTATTAGCTTTTATATCCTTTTACTCATGTGCAAGTTAATTGTTCTACCATATTGTATTACTACTACCACTACAACTTATATCACTACTACTACTTCTTCTACCACTAGTATTACACCTCACTCTAAGCCTATATATACCCTCTGTGTCCATGTATTGTTTGTAACGGCTTGACAAAGCTCCTGGAGAGCGAAATGTTGCCACAATAAAATGTCACATTAGTTGCACTTGTGTCCTTTTACTTCACATATTGTTGGTAATTTTACCAACTTATGTACAATAGTTGTCTTACTAGAAGAACACAAACATCACAATTGAAATTACTCTCAGCATCCCCAAGCATCCTTCAGAGTGAAGACACTGTGTTTGCTGCTTGCACAACTCTAGTCTGGGTTGAGTTCATCTCATGTCCACTTTAAAAGTTCTTTCTAATTTTCTTGCCTAGATTCTGTCTAAGAATACATATTATAATTGAATGTGTCTCATCAAATTGTGTTAGGAGTAATGAGGGACTGAAATATTGGCATTACATTTACAAGTGCACAACTATGCCAGTTCTGTCAGAAAGTGTAGTAGAGTCAGTATAGTCATAGATTTTCCACTGCAGCTTCACCACTCGGGTTCCCTGCACCAGGGGTGGTCCTACATTTTTGGGGCCCTCAAACTTGAACTGTTATGGAGCCCCTTTTCAACTCCTTCTCATACAGTAGACCCAAAATTTTCAAGCAATGTGGATTAAAGTCCCTTCTGGGGCCCCTCCGGGATTAGGGGACCCTCCGGGATTAGGGGCCCTCAAGCTTAACCTTCATTACTTTCATCATAGATCCGCCACTGCCCTGCACTCTACGTGATTTGTTACTTTTAGAAATTGATGCGGTTTTATTTTGTGTTTATTAAGTTATTTATATTGAAATAAACTAAGATCACAATATACAGTATATTGTTTATTTTAAACACATCTGCCATTTCTCACCATCACTGACTCCATCACTTTCTTACCAGAGGCCTTCTGATACTACATTTGAAAAACTGCAACATACAGTGGTCTCTCGTTTATCGTCGTTAATCCGTTCCTGGAAGTGCGACGATTATTGAAATAGACGATTTTCGAATCAATTTTCCCCATAAGAAATAATGTAAATACAATTAATCCGTTCCTGACACTCAGAAGTATTAAAATAAAAATTTTTTTTACATGAAATATAGATGTAGGACATAAACAATACAATGGCACATGATGAATGAAACATTAACAGCATAACACTTACCTTTATTGATGATTCTTCTTAGTGTATGGAAGACTGGAGGAGGAGACAGATTGGATTATTTACAGTTTGGAAGGGGAATCCCCTTCCATCAACACCTCAGGTACCAAGGGCTTTTCTGGGGTTACTTCTCTTCTCTGTTTCTTAATGCCACTAGAACCAGCTTGAGAGTCACTGGAGTCCTGTCTCGCAAAAACAAGTTTCCAGAGAGCTCTGTTTCTGGCGTCTCTTTAAAACTTCCCTAAAATGGGCCAAGACTCTGTCACTGTACAAGTTGCCAATATGGCTTGCAACATCCTTCTCAGGGTGATGTTTCTCCATAAATCTTTCCATTCTACCCCACATTTCAAAAATCTCCTTAATTTCTGAAGAAGGCAACTTCTTCCATCTCTCTTCCTCCTCTGCAGCAAGATTCTGAGCTGCGATCTGTTGTTGTTCCTGCTGAAGCTCTTGCAGCTCCTCAGTGGTTAGCTCTTCATTGTGGTCCTCCACCAACTCTTCCACATCCTCCAA